ACCCTAACCTGAATCACTCTCTTACTCTTCCTTCTTCAAATAAGACATTCTATCTTTCCTAGGAATAGCTAGCTTTTCGTTCCTGGATTCCTTCCTTTTCCGTATTTTCTAGTCCCTTATATGAAGCTGGGTTAGCCCCCATCTTCGAACCTCTTCTCAAACTTGTCACTAAGCCCTTCCAAAGACTCCAACAGGCTCTCCTTAAGGCCCCAGCCCTACATCTCCTGCACCTGACTTGTCCTTTTTCCCTCTACGTAACTGAAAAAGAGGGGTTTGTCCTTGGAGTCTTAGGTCACCAGCTAGGACAATCTTTTGTACATGTAGAATACTTGTCAAAAAGACTAGATCCAACCATCCAGGGATCAGCACTCTGTATTCCTAACTTAGCAGCTGCTGAACTCCTAATTCAAGAATCAAAGAAACTAACCCTGGGATCGCCTATGACTGTCCTCTCTTCTCACAACCTGTCACAGCTCCTACCTTATAAAGGCTTACAGACTTTACCTCCCTGCAGGGTTCTTTATCTTCAGGTAGCTCTAATAGAAGATTCCACTCTCACCTTTCAATAATGCCCACCTTTTAATATTTCCAATCTTCTTCCCCGACCTAACATTGACTACTCTCTATTTCACTCCTGTACTGAAACATTAGAAGAACTATTACCTCATCCTTTACACATATAGGAGGGAACATTGCCTCAAGCCACCTTTACCTGGTATACAGATGGAAGCTCCTCTCTTCATGAAGGGGTCAGGAAAGCTGGCTATGCCATAGTGTCATACACCAAGGTGGTGGAGGCACAGGCCCTTCCTGCTCATACCACCAACCAACAGGCTGAGTTAATAGTCCTTACCCATGCCTTCCAGCCGGCACAGGGACAATCCCTCAGCGCTTACACAGATTCCAAATATGCTTTCCATATCCTCCTGTCCTATGCTGCTATCTGGAAGGAGCGTGGGTTACTTACTGCAAAAGGAGGATCAGTAACTAATGCAAACCAGATTATGGCCATGCTAAAGGCCTCTCATCTCCCCACAGCTATTGAAATTGTCCACTGCAGATCCTATTGTACGGATGACTCTATAGTCTCCAAGGGAAACAACCGAGCGGATGAGGCAGCTAGAGCTGCAGCCCTTAGGGGCCTAGACTCATCTCACCCTCCCAAGGAAATTCTTACACTACAACTCACATCCCCACCTACACCCCCTGACACTCATCAAACTCTGTCCTATCTTCACCAACTCTTTCATCCTAATAGCCAAGCACTGTCTTATTTCGTTAAGACCCACCTACAGCCTCCTCCTGAGGACTTAAGTTTCCTAAAATCTATCACTGCTTCTTGCAATATCTGTCAGATGTCAGATCCCAACTCAAGGTATCGTAGCACCCCTTTACCAACCATCAGGCTAGAGGTTCCCTTCCTGGAACTGACTGGCAACTTGACTTTACCCATATGCCTGCTGTAAAACGTGTCAAGTACCTCCTGGTCTTGGTGGACACCTTCTCAGTCTGGGTAGAGGCTTTTCCCACAACTAACAAAAGGGCTCAGAGAGTCTCTGATCTCCTCCTCAGAGAGATCATCCCCTGTTTTGGTGTCCCCGCCTCCCTACAGTCAGACAATGGGCCTGAATTTACTTCCCAAGTTTCTCAGATTCTATCTAAGGCCCTAGACATCCCCTGGCATTTTCATATCCCCTATCATCCTCAATCTTCAGGTAAGGTAGAGAGAATCAACTGCTCTTTAAAAACCACTCTTGTCAAGCTGTCACAGGAACTTCACCTTAACTGGGTAAAACTCCTACCTCTGGTTCTTTTCAGGCTACGAGCTCTTCCCAAGCGACCTCTCCTCATTTCACCTTTTGAACTCATGTATGGACGTCCAGTCCTAACTCCTGGTCTTTCACCTGAATATTCCCTCTCCCTCTCTGCCCGGGACCTGTAAAGAGAGTGCTAGCGGTGCCTTCCACTACAAAAACAACTAACATGATCATTGCTGTGATATGGGACATGCTTGCTTTTCCTTGCCCACTGCAAATTCTAGCCGCCAGAGACACTGGGCAGCGACTTCAAGAGCTACCAGGAAGTCCTGCCCTCTTGCCGCTGCCGCCCAACCCCCTGCCAGCCATACGATCCAGCTTTCTTATTCTGGTCCTAGCCAAATGTTTCTTTGGTAATACAAAAATGTGCTTTTCTCTACCTACACAACCCACCAAAGTTACTTAAGACAGGATAGGAAAGGCTCTGTCTTGATAGATTTTTACTACTGCTATTATTCTATTCAGTTACAACCAATCCTTATGGCTCTCAATCTTGTCAGAAGTCTGCTGATAGTATTTTTAAGCTTATGGCCGACAGAATTCCCAAAGCCTCTAACAGTTAATCCAAGATGGTTTCAGAAGACTTGGACACCGGACACCTAGAAGATACAGCCTGGATTGTATGTGATGATATAGTCACTAACAAACGCAGTGGGCTAGACTGGATGCTCTGAGTCAAATCACTTAGCTAAGTCAAACCAAAGTAAGTCATTTCTCATGTCACGTGTATCCATTCCACAGAAAAAAAGCCCTGCATCTTCTGCGCTTGGAAGCCAAACTGACTTCACCCAAGAGACTATGGAGACCATGGGAACTGTTGGCTCTGTGGACTCTGTCATTTTTTAAAAAAATAATATATAACTGGTAGATTATTGTTTACTCTTACTCAGACTTCTGACTACATTGACAGCTAAGCTTTCACAGATATTATCTGTTACCTCATTACCTAAACTGAGTTGCCATCAATTAAATGCTTCATATTTTCTCTTCTTGCTATGCCACTGTCCTAATATTATCTGAGTTCCTATAAACTTGCCTAACTAATAAAACATTCCACTATACGATCCAACAAAGGCTCATCTTAAAGACTGCTCGTGTTTTTAACTCATGCTGTTATCTCTTTTGTAAACTTATAAGCTACAGGAAACCCACTCAGATCTACCTCTCGTGGACCATATAGATACCATCCAGATCTTGTCAAGTCCAGGCACATCAAAAAGAGATCCAGAGAAGCAACCTCCAGATGCTCCATCTCCTGTCACGCACACAGCTGCTTCTACTGGACCTGTTCCTTCTGACCTATTCTCAGATGGCTCACTCCATAGACCCTGGACAGCAGGAAACAGCCAAGTCTCCTAAGTCTGGACAAACATCCTCCACACCCATTCTTCTAGGTTCCCCCTAAAGACACGTCGCCCCCAGTGCCAGCAGGAAGCAGCCAGATATCACAATGACCCTATTCCTGCTTCGCTGTCACCTCTTTCTAATTTTTCTCTTTTAATTAAAACAAAATGGGGGAATGTTAGTATCCTGTCTAAACTCCACCTCCACAGTTATCTGGTAACACTCAGGTAGGCGTGCCTACTATAAAAGGGGCTGCTTGCCTCCTCCTCTCTCTCTTACTCTCTTACTCTCTTGCCTCTAGCTTCTCCTCGCCCTTCCTCCCTTCCCTCCCCCCTCTCTCTACATGGTCATGGCCGGCCTCCACTTCTCTCCTCTCTCTCTCCTCTTTCTCCACCATCTTCTCCCATTTCTCTCCCTACCTTTGCCCTCTGCCCTGAATAAACCTCCTCTCCTTTGGAACCATTTGGTCTGGTGTTGTCTGTTCCAAGCTGCGCACCGAAGTCTAACACCAGTTGATCCCTGGCCACAGGCAAAATCATCTGAAAACCATGATGGGTAGACTAACTTTTTTTCTGTAAGGAGTATTAGTTGTCTATATGTAGCTTAACCCAGCAGTATTACCTTGACTGGCTGTTGACAAGGGGGGTTTGTCATAGGATATTTGCTCAAGTTCATTGTGCATATTGTTAGAGGTAACACATAGGAAATGTGGCGATATCTTGTTGTAGCAATTGCCTTAATATATTGTCTGCTGTGCATCATTAAAGAAGTAAATGAATTCCAAAACCTCTGTCTCTGATGTACTCTCTCTTCTCTTTCGAGGAGCTGATGGTCTCACAGTCTAATCCAGTATACGATCCCTGAGTGGAGCAGGACCTGTCACTCCTCTCCCTGAAGGGGATTCTAACCCCTTATAAATAGACTGCTTCTAACAGATAAGAGTCCCTGCTCGAGACACCTGGAAAAAAAGTTCTTTATCCGTACTACATAGCCATAGCAGACATGACTATGTTAGACGGAGACAACAGTCAAAAATATTTTGAAAGCCAGGCAGTGGCGCATGCCTTTAATCCCAGCACTCGGGAGGCAGAGGCAGGCGGATTTATGAGTTCGAGGCCAGCCTGGTGTACAAAGTGAGTTCCAGGACAACCAGGGCTGTACAGAGAACCCTGTCTCAAAAAATCAAAATAAATAAATAAATAAATAAAAATAAAATAAAGATTTTGAAAAAAAAATCCTGATGTCATGCAAAAATATTCTGATGCCGTCGAACAACCCTACCTGAGACATGGAGTTGATCGGCTTACATCAAGTTTTGAAATTTAGAACGCACGACTCGTTTGCGTGGCTGGCTAAAGGACATGCTGTTTAGGGGAAAAAATACACACGTCTGTGTGTTTTCAGAAGAGACAAAGCTATTTCTACCTCCCAGAATGACATGGATCAGACATGACAGAGGCAGGCCACCAGAGACTAGATTCCAGCATTCAAACAAAAAATTATCTCGATGCTAAAACTTGTTTTGAGAACTGTATATTGCAGAATACACAGACTTGGTGTATCTACTCATCAAGTGAGCCAAGCAGACCCACTCGAACCTCTGACGTCCTGGAGTCTCAGCTGGATGCAGTGAAGACACAGACGTCAGATGACATTCACAGGTTTCTTTCCGACATGGGTCCTTTTACGGTTCTGGAGACAAAGACTTTGCAAGAAGGCTTTTACCATATGAATTAGATTCATAAAGTTTCTCTCCTGTATGTGACATTGACGTCTCTGGAGACATCTAATTTTTAAATAGGTTTTTCCACATGGGTGACATAACTAAGGTTTCCTCTCTGATATGGGTTCTTTTATGATGATGAAGATGACCTTGTTGTGTGAAGCATTTACCACATCGATGACATTCATAAGGTCTCTCTCTGGTATGGGTTTTTATATGATCTTGGAGAAGACTGGATCTTGCAAAGGCTTTACCACATTGATTACATTCATAAGGTTTCTCTCCAGTATGTGTTCTCTTATGACATTGGAGACCACTCTGATATGAAAAGGCTTTACCACATTGATTACATTCATAGGGTTTCTCTCCAGTATGTGCTCTCATGTGACATTGGAGATTACAGAGGAACGAAAAGGCTTTACCACATTGATTACATTCATAGGGTTTCTCGCCAGTATGTGTTATTTTATGTCTTTGGAGATGACTGGGTCTTGCAAAGGCTTTACCACATTGATTACATTCATAAGGTTTCTCCCCAGTATGTGTTCTCTTATGATACTGGAGACTACTGTGAAATGAAAAGGCTTTACCACATTGATTACATTCATAGGGTTTCTCTCCAGTATGTGCTCTTTTATGATATTGGAGATGACTGGGTCTTGCAAAGGCTTTACCACATTGATTACATTCATAAGGTTTTCCCCTACTGTGACTTCTTACATGCCTGCAACGATAATTGACACATGTAAAAGCTTAACCATATTCATTATCCTGATCAATCATTTTACCCATATGAATTACTTTTATAGTTTGGTTTAATATTAAAAAAAGAATTAGATTATAAGGTTTTATCACTTCATACATTCATAGTGTTCTTCCCCACTATGGGTTGTTTTCCATCTTTGAAAATTCCTGTGATGGTAAGAGCATTTATTGCATGGATTGTATTTCTAACATCCTATTTCTATATGAGATTTCTTTTTTTTTCTTCTCTTTTTTTGTTTTTTGTTTTTCTTTTGTTTTGTTCTGTTCTGTTTTGTTTTGTTTTTCAAGATAGGGTTTCTCTGTATAGCCCCGGCTGTCCTGGAATTCACTTTGTAGACCAGGCTGGCCATGAACTCAGAAATCCGCCTGCCTCTGCCTCCCAAGTGCTGGGATTAAAGGCGTGCGCCACCACTTCCCGGCCTATATGAGATTTCTATATGATGGATTTCACATATCTGAAGTAAAATGGAATGAGGCAGAGCTGTATAACACTGGTTGCATTCATAATTTTTCTGTAGTGTGAATCACAATACAGTTGCACTGGGACCCAGGAAAAACTGAAGAACTTCAATATTTCTAGTACCCATAGGGATTTTCTGCTGTGCAACTTTTGGGTTGTTTCCAGTAAAGTCAGAAAACCAATTAATTGCAAACATCTATCATATTCAGAGAGCCTCCCAAAGGCAGAATACTACATTTCTTCTCATTGTCCTAGAATAGTAAAAGGTATGTGGCTCCTTTAAATATCCATATGCTCACATCATTTCATTCATTCTGACACTTGATATACCAATGAGAAGAAGAAGAAAAAGACAAAATGAAATGTTTGCACATTGAATTCACAACATTTGACCTTCGGTTCATTGTACACCTGCTGTATATGGATTAAGGTTTCTAAATGACAACATTCTTGAATCTCATAAACTGACTGCTCCATAAACTTAGCAATGTCACTCAAAGAATATGAATACTACCAATTTTGCTATGGGCTATTTGCTTATTAGAAGGTTTTGGATACATATTTATCACTATTTAATGTGCAACATCTAAATATTATGAGACTATACAGAGAGGTAGTCCCACAGTATAGCTCTAATGGAACTACCAATCAAATAAAGCTATCTCTTAAGGCCCTGTTTCCTTGTCAGCTTTCTTAGAGGAATGCCTTGCAAACACAAATCAGAAAATTGATAGTGAGGTACATGGTCTTGTGAGAATATTATCATCATAGCTACAATAAAAGGACTGATATTTTACACACTTGCTTTGCTTTAGAGCTTCCAGATCATAGTAAAATTTCCTCACAGGCATATTTGTATCAGATTAAACATTAAAATTACCTTTCATGACTTCTAGAAGTTTGATGCTGTTCTTCAATATGATGGTCTTCCAAATTATAGTCTAAAACACAGTACCAGAAAATGAATGATATAGTATTGGAATTAGGCAAAATTCAAGTTACTCTGAATTTTTGCAGCAATGAACCTGATTTATTCGACTCAATATTACTTGTTCTCTATTGAAATAAGAGGTGATCATCAGTAACCAGGAAACATTTTTACCTTATTTTGAAAAGCAAAAGAAAATTCACAGTCAGCTGGGCAGTGGTGGCGCACGCCTTTAATCCCAGCACTTGGGAGGCAGAGGCAGGCGGATCTCTGAGTTCCAGAGTTCAAGGCTAGCTTGGTCTACAGAGTGAGTTCCAGGACAGCCAGGGCTACACAGAGAAACCATGTCTCGAAAAAAACAAAATAAATAAATAAATAAATAAATAAAAATTCACAGTCTTACCTATAGCAGTGAGGTTCCAGTAGGTCTCCAGCATCACATCTTTGTAGAGATTCTTCTGGGAAGGATCCAGCAAATTCCACTCTTCCACAGTGAAGTTCACATGCACATCATCATAAGTCACTGCATCCTAAAATATCCCATACATGTGTACAACACAAAGCCTGATACTGACATCACTACAAAGTAAATGTATGCTTCCATAGACAATATAATCATATAATTCAGGTGATCCCTCCACAAACAGAAGATATAGGAGGGACTCTGTGAAGGCAGGTGACCTAGAGTAGGGACTCCATTAAGTTCATAGCCATCTTATTTATAACAGCTTGAAACTGGAAGAATCCAGATGCACCTCAACCAAAATATGGATATAGAAAATGTAGTTCATTTACAAAAGGAAAAACTATTCAGCTATTAAATACAAGGACATCACGAATTGTTGCGCCTGCCTCGCCAGCAAGGATGATGCAACAACAGGATCCTTCCTCACGCACTTCATTGGGGAACACACTATTGATTGTAAAGCGAAAGACCCCCAGCCCAAAATGGGTGCTGCTTAAATAGTTATCACAACTGTGTATAAGTGTCTAATTGGTGCTTCTTGCAGAACTTCATTTACATACTGCTCAGGAGGGTGAGGAGCTGTGTCTGAAAGATACGCAGGCTCACAGCAGGTGCTTTCGACCCTGAATGCAGTTGTTTTCCACCTCAAACAGAGGGAACAAACGCCATCTTCTAATGGCGGCTCCTAACAATGAATTTGCAGCCAAATGGATACAGCTAGAAACTATTATCCTGAGTGAGATAACCCAGACCTAAAAGCACACGCATGTACGTACTCACTTGCACATGAATAATAACCACAAAGTACAGGAAACCCACACTACACTTCATAGACCCGAAGAAGCTATACCAGACACTTACTCTCCAGTAAGAGCAGAGACTACGCCATGTAAGTGTCTCTTGTCAATACTTAAAGCCACCCATGTTGGGCAGTGGTGGTGCATAACTTTAATCCCAGCACTTGGGAGAAAAAGGCAGGTGGATTTCTGAGTTCGAGGCCAACCTGGTCTACAGAGTGAGTTCCAAGACAACCAGAGCTACACTGAGAAACCCAGTCTCAAAAACCGGAAAAAAAAAAAAAACACTTTTGTTTTATCTTAATTTCCACTAGTTTCTTCAACAATGACTTCAATTTTATCAAACATTTCTCCATGCAGATATTCAATTTTTTCAGAAATTTTCCTTAAATCACATGAATTTTACATCAAATTTTTTTCTTCTCAAACTTGTATTATTTTAGGAATTTTTAAAAAATGATTCAAAATTTTTCATACCTTTTTTGTATTTGTCATCATTTTAATTAGTTTTTTCTATATGTTTTGTATTTCTTAATCAGTTTTCTCTATCTTAATTTTTAACACTCGATTTTTCAACAATGTCTTCAATTTTATGAAATGTTTCTCCATGCAAATATTCAATTTTATCAGAAATTTTCCTTAAGTCACATTCGACTTCAAGTCAAAGTTTTCCCTTACGGATCCTCTAGTTTTGTAAGAACTTTGGTAGCTGGGCAGTGGTGGCACACGCCAATAATCGCAGCTCTTGGGTGACAGAGGTAGGCGGATTTCTGAGTTCGAGGCCAGCCTGATCTACATAGTGAGTTCCAGGACAGCCAGGACTACACAGAGAAATCCTGTCTCAAACAAAACAAAACAAAACAAAACAAAACAAAACAAAAAAACTAGTTAACATTAATATGAGAAATTTCTATATAGGACTAAGTTAATATTAACTTTCAAATTTATTAATTTTCAAATTTCAGTATAGAAATAGTTAATATTACATTGGAATCCTCAATTTAGGACTAGTCAACATTTAATTGGAATCTTCAATATAGGACTAATTAATACTAAATTGGAAATTTCAATATAGTACTAATTAATGTAAAATTGGAAATTTCACCCTAGGACTCGTCAACATTAAATTGGAAATTTCAGTATAGGACTAGTTAATATTAAATTGGAATCTTCAATATAGGACTAGTTATAATTAAATGTAGCTTTGGTCTGTACAGGAAAGAGTGCGCCAATGATGGCCGGTTAGTCAAAGACAGGTAAGAGTGTTCTTGCGCTCCTATAGACCTAAGGCAGAGGCGTAAATCAATATGGTATGTATGTTTTCCTCAAGGATGGGTAATAAAGAGCAATATACACACCAACCTAAGCCAGCCAGGCACGGTCGCCCGGCCATTCTTTACATGATCAATCAATCAATCAAAAAATCAATCATCCTCACACTCAGCCTTTCAACTGTCTATGTCTCCATCATCACTGTCCCTATTCATCCCGATCGATCAATCAATCAATCATCCTCACACTCAGCCTTCCTAATCGTCTCCTTCTCCATTGTCACCATCTCTATACATCACTATTAATTAATCCATCCATCAATCAATCATCCTCATCTCTCTGTCCCCATCAATCAATCAATCATCCCTACACTCAGCCTTCTCAATCATCTCCATCTCCACCATCACCATCTCTATCCATCCTGAACAATGTCAACCAATCAATCAATCATCCTCACACTCAGCCTTAACAATCGTCTCCATCACCACCATCACCGTCTCTATCTGTCCCGATCGATCAATCAGTCAATCAATCATCCTCACACTCAGCCCTACCAATGGTCACCGACTATCTGTCTCAATCAATCGATCAATCAATCAATCAATCATCCTCACACTCAGCCTTTCAACTGTCTATGTCTCCACCATCACCGTCTCTATCCATCCCGATCAATCAATCAATCAATCAATCAATCATCCTCACACTCAGCCTTCCCAATCGTCTCTGTCTCCATCATCACTGAGAGTAAACGATAAATTGCTATATAGGACTAGTTAACATTAAACTGTAAATTGGGATGTAGGATCAGTTCACCGTAAATTGTAAATTGAGATTCAGGATCAGTACACAGTGAACTGTAAATAACAATATAGGACCACTTTACCCTAAATTGTAAATTGTGATAAAGGACAAGTTAACTATGTAACGTCAATTGGGATGTAGGATGAGTTCACCATTAACTGTAAATTGCGATAAAGGACAAGTTAAGTATATAATGTAAATTGGGAAGTAGGATCAGTTCACCGTAAATTGTAAATTGTAAATTGCAATATAGGATCAGTTCACAGTAAATTTCAAATTGAGATACAGGATGAGTTAATGGAAAATTGTAAATGGTGATAAAGTACAAGTTAACTATGTGATGTAAATGGGGAAGTAGGATCAGTTCACTGTAAATTGTAAATTGCGATATAGGACTAGTTAATCAAAAATTATAAATTGCGATAATGGACAAATTCACAATAAATTTCAAATTGAGATATAGGACCAGTTTACCATATAATGTAAATTGGGATGTAGGATCAGTTAACCGAAAATTGTAAATTAGGATTATGGACACAGTCAGGCAGTGGTGGCGCACGCCTTTAATCTCAGCACTTGGGAGGCAGAGGCAGGCAGATTTCGGAGTTCAAGGCCAGCCTGGTCTACAGAGTGAGTTCCAGGACAGCCAGGGCTACACAGAGAAACCTCTGTCTCGAAAAACCAAAAAAAAAAAAAAATGATTATGGACACGTTAAGTATATAATGTAAATTCAGATGTAGGATTAGTTCACCATAAATTACAAATTGCAATAAAGGACAAGTTAATATTAAATTGGAATTCAATATTAAGACTAGTTAATATTAAATATAGGACTAGTTAATATTAAATTAGAATATTCAATATAGGGCTAGTTAATATTAAATTGGAAATTTCAATATAGGACTAGTTAATACTAAATTGGAAATTTCAATATGGGACTAGTTAATAGTAAATTGGAATAGTCAATATAGGACTTCTAAACATTAAATTGGAAATTTCAAAAGAGGACTAGTTAATATTCAATTGGAAATATCAGTATAACACTTGTTAATATTACATTGGAATCTTCAATTTAGGAATAGTCAAAATTAAATTGGAATATTCAATACAGGAGTAGTCAAACTTAGATTGGAAAATTTCAATATAGGACTAGTCAGTATTAAATTCAATTATTCAAAATAGGACTAGTCAACAATAAATTGGAATATTCAATGTAGGATTAGTTAATACTAAACTGGAAATTTCAATATAGGACTAGTTAATATTTAATTGGAGTATTAAAAATAGGACTAGTTAATATTAAATTGGAAATTTCAATATAGGACTCGTCAATATTAAAATGAAATTTTCAGTATAGGACTAGTTAGTATTAAATTGGAACATTGAATATAGGACTCATCAAGATTAAATTGGAATATTCAATACATGACTAGTTGATATTAAATTGGAGTATTCAATATAAGACTAGTTAATATTAAATTGGAGTAGTCAATATAGGACTAGTTAATATTAAATTGGAAATTTCAATATAACTCTAGTTAATATTATATTGAAAAATTCAATATAGGACTTGTCAACATTAAATTGGAATATTCAATATAGGACTAGTTAATATTAAATTGGAGTATTCCAGCACTTGGGAGGCAGAGGCAGGCGGATTTCAGAGTTCGAGGCCAGCCTGGTCTACAGAGTGAGTTCCAGGACAGCCAGGGCTATACAGAGAAATCCTGTCTCGAAAAACCAAAAAAATAAAAAATAAATAAAATAAATAAATTATAGTATTCAATATAGGAATAGTTAATATTAAATTGGAAATTTCAATATAGGACTAGTTAATATTAAATTAGAATCTTCAATGAAGGACTAGTCAACATTAAATTGCAATATTCAACGTAGGACTAGTTAATACTAAATTGGAATTTTCAATAAAGAACTAGTTAATAATAAATTGGAATATTCAATTTAGTACTAGTTAATATTAAATTGGAGTATTGAATATAGGAGTAGTTAATATTAAATTGGAATATTCAATATAGGACTAGTTAATATTAAATTGGAGTATTCAATATAGAACTAGTTAATATTAAAAGTTAATATTAAATTGTAATATTTTATATAGGGCTAGTAATTATTAAATTGGAAATATCAAAATAGGACTAGTTAATAATAAATTGGTATATTCAATATAGGACTAGATAATGTTAAATTGGAAATATCAATATAGGACTAGTCAACATTAAATTGGAAATTTCACTAGATAATATTAAATTGGAATATTCAATTTAGTAATAGTTAATATTAAATTGGAGTATTGAATATAGGAGTAGTTAATATTAAATTGGAATATTCAATGTAGGACTAGTTAATACTAAATTGGACAACAGGAAGTGACAGACACCCAGACAGGAAGTCCACCACGCTGCATCCTGGGAAATGTAGTCTCCCAGTCCCCGCCATCTTGGCCGTGCCGGCACTGGAGGGGCGGGGCGTGAGGGGGGGGGGAGAGAGAGAGAGAGAGAAAGAGAGAGAGAGAGAGAGAGTCACCAGCTGCCTGACTCGAGGCCATGCCCCAGCCTCAGATGCCCCAGGGCCCGCCTCAGCCAACTACCAGTCAGTCCCCTCCCGGCCACCCACCAGCCCACAGTCATTCCCCTGCCTCCGCCACCACGGTGCAGCCTCGACCGGGGTGGGAGATCACAGCGGCACTGTGCGCTGCGGGTCTCTGTGCGAAGCGTCACGGGAATCGTGGTTTCACTTCCCAGATCATAAATCTCCGGGCCCGCGCGATGGTTACCCGCCGTGATGAATGGCTGGGCTTGCTGAGAGTGATCCTGTGTGTCAGTGAAAGATATAAAAATTCATAAAAGATATAGAGAGTTTTAAGATCCCTGAACCCGAGCCGAGAATGTAGACAAGCCGGTTCGCAGGCTCCGCGCTCCAGGAACTGTGAAGCGGAACTAAAAATACAGGTCGGCTGGGTTGTTCCAGGAACTGGCTGACCACAAGATAAATGATGAGGTTAAATTCTTTTTTTGTTGGTTTTGTTTTGTTTTGTTTTGCTTTGCTTTGCTTTGCTTTGCTTTGTTTTGTTTTTCGAGACAGGGTTTCTCCGTGTAGCCCTGGATGTCCTGGAACTCACTCTGTAGACCAGGCTGGCCTCGAACTCAGAAATCCACCTGCCTCTGCCTCCCAAGGGCTGGGATTAAAGGCTTGTGCCACCACTGCCCCGCACAAGCCTAAATTCTTGAGAAAAAATATGTACAGGATGTTTCTCACACCCTGGTTTATGACCGACTAATGGGTCGGGACTTTCCACTATTTTTATGGTGTAGGCTGGGACGTTCCACTGTTTTTATGATAATTCTTCCTTAGTTTCTCCCTCGGATCCCCCCCATTTGTGGTAAGTGTGTAAATACAGTAAATACAGTAAACATTTTTCCCATGGGCTGTATGCAAACTTACAGGAAATACAAAAGCGTGCATAGAGGAAAACTGTAGCAACTTGTTTTATGGATAACAATTGTCAAATTTGCCTAAAAAGTTTGCCATGTAATAGGCCAAATATCATCATTCTCCAATAACCAATTTAATTTCTATTTGGAATAAGGAATAAACATTTCATCCAAAATACTTTCAGGATTCTATGTTACAATTCTGTATTAACACAATAACAATTTCATAATAGGATGTTCAAACTTTACTTGCAGATGAAGATGAATCCATATTAACAGTTTCTTTTGTCAAAGGGCTGCTGTGAGCACATAAGTAGGAATAGCACAACAGCCAACAATTGATCATAGTCTATATAATGTATCTGTTGATAACTAACAGTTTACTTTCTGCAAAGCTGTTCCTCCATCAGTTAATTGTCGAGGGGAATTAGGACTTGCATCCCCCTTGAGAATATCAAACAGAGGTTAAAGTTCTCTTACGGTAAGCTTAAGATGAGATTTTAGCTAATTAATATCTCCTAACAACTTTTGAAAATCACTAAAAGTAAACCTTTTTTTTTTTTTCATGTATGCTTGCAAGTCAGAAGACGGCACTAGATCGCATTACAGATGGTTGTGAGCCACCATGTGGTTGCTGGGAATTGAACTCTAATATTTTTGGTTATGAGTCTAGCCTTTAATGGCTGAGCCATCTCTCCAGCCCCAACTATCTATTCTTATTGGAATTTTCTGTGCCACACTGAGGTCCCACATATTGAAAAGATATTGCCTTTGAATCTTTTCTGGAGCAACAAGCACTACCCAAAATTTTAAAACTTATTATATGAGAGCAAAGGCTTGCAGAAAAACTCCTTCAGAAAGATCAGGCAATAAAATATACAATGAATAATATACACTGAGAGATTCAAATGCTTTAACTTTTTGTATTAAAGCAACAACAATTTTATATATATATATAATGTAAGGATATTATTGACCATTCCTTGAGGCAACCTTTCTAATGATATTGCTTCATGGGTTCTCAAAAATTAAAAATTCAGCCGGGCAGTGGTGGCACACGCCTTTAATCCCAGCACTTGGGAGGCAGAGGCAGGTGGATTTCTGAGTTCGAGGCCAGCCTGATCTACAGAGTGAGTTCCAGGACAGCCAGGGCTACACAGAGAAACCTTGTCTCAAAAAAAAAAAAATTTTACAAATTCACTTAGTATAAACCTCTCACCTTTACCAGGATGTAAAGGAATGGTATAAAACAATCTTCTAAATCTATAATAATTTTATATGCATTTACTGGAATGGCAGCCGGAGTAGGCAAGTCAGGCTATGATGCCTTATCAGTTTCATAAATCTTAAGTTTGAACTTTGTTTTGGATTAATTGAATAACCAATTCCTTCTAGCTGAGTGAGAGTATCAGATAAAGGCCAAGTTGAAGGCCAAATCTTGTCCTCTTTTACTCTTAGAGCAATTCTTTTGTTAACAGACACAACTATAATGCCATGGAGGGAAGCAGGCACAATTTTAATTCCTCCAGCATAACCATTATCTATAACTCCTGGCCCATAAGCTGTTGTGAATGAATGTCTTTGGGTCTGAGGCTGATGCCTCCCCCTAAAGGAACAAGTAAGGCAATAAACAAATTGCAAAAACCACCCTTCTAGGGGCTGGTCATGATGACCAAGACAAAAGGACCGTCTGCCACACAAGCTTCTGCTGCTCCCACTCTGTGCATAGTCTTACTTCAAAGGTGAATGTTCTTAATCTCAGCCTGTATCCTGAGGACTGGCCCAAAGATTATCCTTCCTGCACCAAGGACAAATTTCTGGCAAGAGACCTTGGTGACCTGACTGTTGCTCGTGCCTTTGTTCCTGGAACAGTCATTTTAAAAATGACCTAATTCTCCACATTTAAAACATCTTTTATCAGCCGGGTGGTAGTGGTGCATGCCTTTAGTCCCAGCACTTGGGAGGCAGAGGCAGGCGGATTTCTGAGTTCGAGGCCAGCCTGGTATACAGAGTGAGTTCCAGGATAGCCAGGGCTGTACAGAGAAAACTTGTCTCGAAAAACCAAAAAATAAAATAAAATAAAACATCTTTTGTGGGGAAAATTTAAAAAGGCCGCCACAGCGGCACAAGCCCCGGAGGGGCTTCTGCTGCCGCCGTGGCGGGTCCCACATCAGGGAGGAAGATCCTATGGTTCCAGCAGCCTGAGGGCCTTGGCGGCGGCAGGCCCCAATAACACGAGGAAGTCCTTGGTTCCAAAAAGGTTTATTGTCATGGCGGATAATAGATAGATCTAGGCGTACCCCCCCAAAACTCAGGGCAGTCCCGAGTTATATAGGGAGGGAGAAAGGGGGAGGATTAGGGGAGGATCTGGGGGAGGAATGTTTAATTTGCTCTGCCCTCTGGCCTTCATTAGTATGTAAATCTCTAGGGCCTGAGGCCTATAGCCTGGCCTATGTGACTCTATGGAAATGTGACTGTTTTTCAGGATCCTAGGTGATGGGAGGGACCGAACTCCTGCCGGTTCTCACGCAGAATTCCACGGAGAATCTCGGGGTTCTAAGTACCTGCTCAACCATGACCCAGGATACCCTTATGCAGTCCCACAATCTTTTATCGTCACAGTTCTGTGCAAGCACTGCTTGTACAGTGGTCCCTTGTAAGGCAGCAGCTATGGCCAGACCCTGATTGTATGAGGGCCCAATTTCACCACAAAGATGAATGTATCCATGTAAGTCTGTCATTGCTTTGTATGGACTGATAGCTGTGCAGGCAGTTCAACCTGATTAGCACTACCTTCACATTGACCTTCTCCTAGAAGCATGGTAAGATCCCAATCTACATTGCCTGCCTGAGCATTCATCACGGTGGTTCTCTTGCTAGTATCACGCCATTCTGAGCTCCAAAGCAAGTAATCTCCTACTGACAAAATAGTCTTACTATTCAACTCTACATGCTCTATCGTCTTCTCAACCATAAACATGGGTGAGTCAAAAAATTCTAAACTCACGATTGAACTGCCAACTGCAGCCTATGGAAAAGTGGCAGTTTAACTATATTTTCAAGTTTCTTAAGCAAAACCAATTTTTAACAATGTAAACAATCCATTTTCTCTAAAATAAATCTTTTATACATCTGGTTTCTGAATGACTCCAACCCTGAGTTACCAGTTTTAAGTCAACTTTCTATCATCAAGTGTTAGGAGCCGACTCTGAGTAGAAAGCAGCTATCATCTTTGTAGCCATCTCAAGCCATATACCCTGATAAGAGACTTGTTTTTAACAGCCTACAAGAGCTGAGCATACTCTGATAATTATCTTGCTTTTCTTACATATCTTGTTTTGTTGTTTACCCATGATTTCCTTTCAATAAAGGCGAGACTTGAGGCGAGACTTAAGGAGAGACTTAAGGAGAGAATTGAGAGGAGAATAGACCAGACTCTGTCTCGTCTCCATTCTTTGCGTCCCCGTCCCCACTCTCTCTCTTGCTAGGCCCTGTCCCTCGGACCAGAGCAGCAGAATGGGCCATTACAAAGTGGCGCCCAAAATGCGGCAGCAAGAATGAGAGACCCAGTGAGGGACGTTACCAGAAGAAGGGTCGACTGAAAATTCAGAAGTGAAACAGAGGTGATTGCCGTGGGAACCTGCTGTGTGGAGACCAGTAGGTCATAGTAATGATAATGGGGCAAGAAATAAGTCAGCCTGAATTCAACTCTATGTTTTTGTTTTGTTGTTTGCTGCTTATGTGTGTTAATTGTTTGCTTCTGTTTTGCTGTTTTCATATTCAAAAGAAAAAGAAAAGCATAGAATCCAAAATACGACCAAATGTTGAAGTAATTGATTTGTCAGAGCTAGATTGTGCTGACCTAGAGGAAGAGGCAGCCAAAAATTACGACCCTGAATGGCCCTCTTCCCGAAGGCCCCCTCCCTATGCTCCTCCACCTCCAGATGCTCCTGCTATGGAGATGGTGGTTGAAGATCACAGAAAGGAGTTGCAGGACAAAATTTCTTTTCTTAAACAACAAATTTCTCTTCTTAAACAACAAATAGAATTAGAGGAAGAGTATCAGGACTTAATTAATCAGCTACGAAAATTAAAGATAGGGAAGAGGTCTCAAGAGGGCAAGGAAAATTCCTCAGATCCTCGAGTTCCTCAACCCAGAGTCCAAAGACAGCCCCTGTCTTCTGGTTTTAGTACAGATCAGCTAGAGGAGGGAGAGGCTGAGATTTTCCCTGTATCAGAGACTAGAGATGCTCAAGGGGTTGTGTGGAGACATCAAACAGGGTTTAATTTTCAAATTATTAAAGAATTAAAAAATTTGGTGGAACAATACAGTGCCACTGCTCCCTTTACTCTTACAATCTTAGAATCTGTTGCAGAGG